TCAAAATAATAATCTAATTATATAACTATAATCTAAAATCGATTTTTAAACATTAAAATTCATACATGTGTGCCAGCCTTCTGATCGATTAGCACCCTAATTTTTTCTAAATCATCAGGTAGCTCCTGATGATTTTTCATATCAGTAGACCACCTATTCAAGAAAAAAATTTGTTATACGCTGTATAAAATTATTAATATACAAAATCAGTTTTATAATTACCTCAGAAGTAGTGGAAATACGAATGGGTTATTCACAACAGGACATAAAAAGGGCAATCGATACCATGCCCAAGACTACAGCAGCAGGAGACATCCGTCGATAGCATTACGTTTGTAGTTAGTGGCTCCACACATCTCTCTGTACAGCAAAGCCAAAACTGTCGAGCCCCAACTGAATGATCTGGCGAGACGAAAGTCGCTAAGATGTCGCAACCAAATGCAGTGAACTAGGTTGCGCGATTTGTCCAGCATCAACAACCCTCCTATCAACTGCAGTATGCATGCCCGTGCATACATCTTAACCTCATTCTCAGAGGCGTCTGCGCTCAACTCCCGAAAATTGGCATCTAACCAAATTAACGGTATCCTACCTCCGATAAAATTTTCCGGGACACGTTCTAGACTATCCCGACACAAAGTAGTCCAAGAACCGGAAGTTATCCCCGATATCACATCTCCATCCACCGGAAGCCCCAGGTGCATAGAAACATCCTCAAGCGTGATCGTGCACTCTCCGCACGGAATATGAAATGTGTGGGTCTCCGGCCTCCACCGCTTTACTGAGGCATAAATCAGGTCTGACTATATCTTACAGTGACCCTGATATCTACCTATGTAACCGAATCCAGCCTCTACTAAATACGGCAAAACACGGCTGGGTATCACTAACTTAAGATTCCTAATAAAAGGATTTAATACACGGTCCTTCTCCTAAAAATAAATAATTACAAAAATTAATTCTTAATCTAATAATCATGCATTAAATGAATCAACTAATTATTACTAATAATTTAAATTAAATTAAATTAAAACATTAAAATGTTAATGTATCAGCAAAGTGTCGAGATATTTAATTCTTAATCTAATAATCATGCATTAAATAAATCAACTAAATATTACTAATAATTTAAATTAAATTAAAACGTTAAAATGTTACCGTATCAGTAAAGTGTAGAGATATATGATTTCCATCCGAGCGAAGTAGACTGTCTTCCATTATATATCTGCAAAAGAATTATATTAGTAAAATATTAAATAAAATAAAAACATAATAGTAAAAATATTATAAAATATACCTTAAAAAGAGAGTATTTGAGAGAAATTTATAGAATTTGAGAGAATTTGGTGTGATAAAAGTGATTGAGGATAGGAGTATTTATAGGGAGGATGGGGGCGTGAAAGGTTGGTAATTAGGGGTATAGCTCGCCCCCTGCACCGTGCTATACCCCACGTGTCAGATATCCAGGTATAGCGCGGATCAGGGGGCGTGCTATACCCACGAGGCGCCAGATCACTGTATATCGCGGGATAGGGGGTGCGCTATACCCACGTGGTGCCAAATCAGCATATAGCGTGGTGCAAGGGGGCGCGCTTTTCTGCTAAAATTGTTAGATCAAAAAATATAATCTGACCGGTGTTAGATCAACAATAATACCGATCACCGATGATATACCGGGAAAATAGCCGGGTTTCTTTTGATGGCAGAGTTGGATCTTCAATGGATTTAATGTAATTATAAAAAAACACTGCAAAAGTGGGGCTAGTGTTTGGATTTATTTACGACAATGTCCTTACAGCTGTTCAACTTCTGGGGTCTGAGCTGGATGTACTTTGAAGGAACGTCATTGTTGAATGACGTGATTACCCTTTTCCATTTTATTTTGTCTCATTTGTCTCTTCTTATTTTTTATTTTCGTGAATCCTATTGGCTGTCTTGCATTTGGAATTGAAAGAAACTATGATTTGTCACCCGTGAAAAAACAGGGAGGGCGAACGAAAGTGGCTAATGTTTTTCTGTCTAATCTAAAAAAATATACCTTTAACAAAGTTTTCCATTTATTTGAATTTTATTATTTTTAATATAATATTAATAAGTTATATTTTATAATCTCAAAATAAAAATTTAAATTTCATAAGGTTGTCAGCGGATCAAGTGGGGTAAGTTGAATTCATGAGTCCCATTCAATTTAAAATATTTTCTTTTAGCAAATGTTTTTAATATTGTCAATAATTTAGAGTATATGACTAAAAATTTCAATTAATATTTTATATCTCTCTCTTAGGTTATGGGGTTAATATTTATTATGAGTAAAATGTATCTTTCCCCTCCTCATAAGTAAGTTCAAAAAAAAATATTCAACATATTATTTTGATTACATTTCACTCGTATAAGATGTTTGTACTTTGACCATCAAAATTAAAAATACTGGGTTCCTATTATTTCCCACAAAAAGCAAAAATATCCTTTTTGGTTTAAAAAAGTTATATTCTTTTCGGATAAACCCTATAAAAGCTAGAACTCTGATACTACGAGTTAAGTGGCCGTCTTTGCAGAGGAATAAGTAAATATAACTGAAATTGAAAACGAAAGTGGTTGACCCAACCCTATGGGTCAATTTCAGACACCAAAAAGTACGGATACCGTTATAAAAAGTTTTAAATATCCAGGATAAATTATATTAAAAACAACTTAATTTTGTTAAAAATGTTTTTTTATTAATAAATTATAAATTATAAAATGATTATTAAATTTATTATTAATTATAATAATAATATTATTATTAGTTAAAAAATATATATAAATTTTAGAAGTTCAACTATCAAAATGAATGTTTTAAGATGTTTTTTTCTTACGTAAAGAATATATTTTTCTAATTATTTAATTAAATAACACAAAATCATTTATCGAAATAGCATCCATTTATATCATGTCTGCCTTAACTTTACTTACACGAAGGAAGTCGGTCAAAACTTTTAAAGATTACAATGGTAAGGGCCAAAATGAAATTAGAGAGAATTAGTTGTACGAAAAATATGAAAAAGATTATATGGAATTTATCTAAAAATAGGAAATACATACTATACATGATGAAGACATATGTTAACACGAGCACAAATTGAACGACGACGACAACATGCGTGTACATGTCGTGTCTTCAATTGATCATTCAACGAATGCATATTTAAAAGATTATGTTTAAACTTAAATACTTAAAAAAAATCAATATATAAACAATATGATATATTAACAAATAATTTCAAACAAAATCATACTAAATGAATATACATCTGATTTCTCTGTCAGTTGTTACCGTTTAAAATATCCGAGATCCAAGTATCTAAAACTTCTTTTAACTTTCATAATAACATGAATATGATCACATTTAAGATTTACTTTTTACAAACTAAAATCAACTACTTTAATCATGAGATTTTCAAATTTCATATTGATTAAATATTAGTCGTCAAAGATCTCTCAACTTGGTTAGCACCAATCATTAGGTAATCTGTTATTTGTATATATTCAGCTTAATGGTGATTTTTAATCCAATTATTGTTGTTGTCCACCTTCATACATCGATAAGGACAAAATTAAGGTTGAAATAAGGTTATCAAGATCTAAGAAATTAATTGGATAAAATCAAAATAAACGAGTCAAAAGTGATATAAATTCTTTGTTCAAATTTAACATTATTTAGATATTACTTTTTAAATATTTAAATATAATTTTTTAAACATACATTCATTAAATGCTAGAAGATAAGACTCACATATGTGTTGCCGCTTGATCTGTACTTGCACTAACACATGTATTCGACACATATCATATATATTTATTTTCCTTTTTTTTTGTCGTAAATTTCATATAATTTTCTTAGTATATTTGATATTTTTTTCTTTTCTTTCCTATCTAGCCTATTCTTTACAAATTCATACTGTCGTATCGTTACGTAGATGAAACCACAAATTGTAAAGTATATTTTCAAAAGATATGACTGACTTGATATATCTTTATATAATATTTAATATATTTTATCCTAATATACGTAACAATGAAGAGGAGGGTAGGGACGTAAAAACGTATGGGAAGGGTTCAACCGTAAATTAGCCTGAAAATCGAGACGCAAAATACGACAGACTGTCCGCCAACGTCGGCCTTCTTCCTCTTGCAAAGCTTCCAACAACTGCTCTCTGCCCCTACTCGTGTGTTCCGTTTTGCAACTTGCACAGTTGCACACACCGGGTAAATATTTGTACGGCTAGTAAAAAAAAGAAGTAAAAACTGTTATATAGTTTCTTACACTACGGTGACCAGGTTGATTCGGACAAAACACAAAAGAAATTCCAAGCTTCAAAAGCATAGGTGAGGTGATCCCTTAAATTTTTTGAAATAAAAAAGGTGTGCATTTACTCTAAAATTTACTATTTATTTTTATTTAAGATTTTAAAAATTATACGAACTAAATAACTTTAATGATTAAAGATTTTGTTGATATATCTTGAAATATCGGGTTCGAACACCACGTATATCAGGAGTATGAGTGTTTATTATCAAATGAATGAAAATATTTATACAAATAGTACATTGTAATTCACCACAAGCTTATTAAAAAATTAAAAAACTAAATTTAATTATTAATATTATTAAATTTGTTAATGTGATATTAAAAATATTTTAACGACTATCTATGACTTTATAAAAAAATTTACCAATCATCCATCAATCACCACAATTATAAGTAAACCATTTGATTGGAAAATATTTGTTAAAACAGTACATGTGAGCTAGTAGTTGACAACAGCATCAAATTTCCCTGTATGATTTAATATTTATACGACTCCACCAAGAAAATAATAAGTAATGCTATAACCAATGCACCATACATAAATAAAAGGAAGAAGAAAGAATGGACCATCTCAGTCAACTCTACATTAATGGGTTTTATTCACCTATAATTGATCATTACCGATAGATATTTGATCACGATTCCGTCTATGTAGCAACTCCGTTAGCTTTTCGAAGTTTCTAGATTGGGCCGCAATCATAAATCCCATTTTCCTTCTACTTTCCTCGTCTTTGAGCTGTGGTTTTGCTTCACGTAGCTATCTGGTTACGATCCGCAACCGGTTTCGGTTCTGATTTCCCCCCTCATAGTCATGCCTCGGTATGAATATTTATCAATTTATTCAGTCCTACAAGAATTTTTTAATTAAAATTCCATGAACATGTTTATTTGGAGTTAAATTTGCAGGTATTACTTGTTGAAATTATTAAAATGATTTTTAAGTTTGGTAACTAATTTTGAAAAAATGGATTTCAAAGTTTGGTAAATGTTTCTTTTAAAAATAGTTTTTCAAAGTTTGGTAGATGTTTGTTGAAAAATGATAATGGGATAATCACAATTAATCCCTAGGCTTTAGGGTATTTACAAGATTAAGTCCTTAAGTTTCAACTATAAATACCCTAGCTCATTTAGCTTCAAAACCATCCCAAAAATCATTTCTTTCTCCCAATACTAGAGAGCTTTCTTGTGAGTAGTGACTGTTTTGTAAACACCTGTAAATTTTCTCTCTTAGTAAAAGATCTGCAGTAGTCTGGAGACGTAAGCACAATTGACTGAACTCCGTTATCAATTTCGGGTATTATTTTTCCGCTTTTATTTCGTATTCTCACTAATCTGACTATAGGGAAATTACTTGTTACTCGTTTATTTCCTAACAACTGGTATCAGAGCTTTTGGTTGTGAATTCTGTCAAATTTTTGCGGGGTTACTATTCGAGTTACTATTCACATGAATAGTGAATTTCGTGAATAGTAAAATTCGGTCGGCGATACGAGTTTATCGACGGAGGTGTTCTAATACACAGCGGTTCGCAGAAATTGTCAGAAACGATCCAAACGAAGCCAGATTCGAGTGGGAGCGATGGCTGCAGACGAAGGGAATGTGAAAATTGAAAAGTTCGATGGTGCGGACTTTGGATTTTGGAAGATGAAAATTGAAGATTTTCTATACCAGAAAAATCTATATCAACCCCTCTCAGGAAAACAACCAGAGGGCATGAAGAATGAAGACTGGGCTCTTCTCGACAGACAAGCCCTCGGAGTTATCCGACTGACGTTATCTCGCAATGTTGCTTTCAACATAGCAAAGGAAAAGACCACGACGGGTCTTATGGCGGCTCTCTCCAGTATGAATGAGAAGTCATCGGCCTCAAACAAAGTTCATTTGATGAGGCGATTATTTAATTTGCGGATGACGGAAGGGGCACTGGTGGCACAGCACCTAAATGAACTCAACACAATCACAACCCAGTTGAGTTCAGTGGAAATTGAATTTGATGATGAAGTTCGAGCTTTAATTCTCTTATCATCTTTACCAGACAGTTGGAATGCTACTATTATAGCAGTCAGCAGTTCGTCGGGAAACAACAAATTAAAATTCGACGATGTTCGGGATATGGTACTGAGCGAAGAAATTCGACGGAGAGAATCGGGTGAAGCATCAACCTCCTCAGCCTTGCACACGGAGTTTAGAGGGAGAACTTCATAAAGAAATTCAAATCGTGGCAGATCGAAATCCAGAAGGGGAAAATCAAGAACAGGAAATAAAGATTTTACTTGTTATAATTGCGGCAAGAAGGGCCACTTCAAAAGAGATTGCCGAGCACCGAAGAAAAATACCGGCGCACAGGAATCTGCCAACATGACGGAGGAGACAGGTGATGCTATGATTTTAAGCGTCAACAGTCCGATTGAATCATGGATTTTGGATTCAGGGGCATCTTTCCACTCCACGCCATGCCAAGAAATCATGGAGAACTATGTCAGTGGTGATTTTGGGAAGGTTCATATTGCTGATGATGAAACCTTGAAGATCGTCGGAAAATGAGACATCCGACTAAAGCTGCCAAACCAGACCACCTGGAAGCTGACAGGAGTGAGACATATTCCTGGTCTCAAAAGAAATTTGATTTCTGTAGGACAGCTTGATGGAGAATGATACAATACAACCTTTTCAGGCTGTGAATGGAAGATTACCAAAGGAGCACTCGTCATTGCTCGTGGTAAGAAGACTGTTACTCTTTATGTAACCTCAAATTTAGAGAATATCATTGCAGTAGCAGATGTTGATGGAAAATCAAACCGATGGCACCAAAGGCTTGGCCATATGAGCGAGAAAGGAATGAAGATACTTCTGTCAAAAGGGAAGCTGCCGGATCTAAAGAATGTAGATGTCGGACTATGCGAGGATTGCATCTTTGGCAAATAAAAGAAAGTCAGTTTTGCAAAGATTTACAAGACACCCATGGCAGAAAGGTTAGAATTGGTTCATATTGATGTATGGGGACCATCCCCAGTTCCATCTCTTGCAGGCTCACTATATTATGTCACCTTCATCGATGATTCAACAAGGAAGGTGTTGGTTTATTTTCTGAAGAAAAAAATCAGAAGTCTTCGATACCTTCAGAAAATGGAAGGCCATGGTGGAAAATGAGACTGGTTTAAAAGTCAAGCGGTTGAGGTTTGACAATGGAGGAGAGTACAGAGATAGTAGATTCAGAGATTTCTGCGCAAACAATGGGATCAAGATGGAGACAACAGTTCCCATAACACCGCAACAGAATGACGTAGCAAAGCGCATGAATAGAACTCTGAATGAACGTGTCAGAAATATGAGGATACATGTCGGATTGCCCAAATTTCTTTGGGCTGAAGCTATCAACACTACAGCTTACCTGATCAACCGTGGGCCCTCAGTTCCTTTGGATGACGGAATACCAGAGGAAGCTTGGAGCAAGAAAGAAATAAACCTTTCACACTTAATAGTGTTTGGTTGTATTTCTTATGTACACATAAACTCTACTGAAAGAAGTAAACTTGATGCCAAGTCTAACAAATGCGTATTTGTTGGTTACGGTGGTGATGAGTTTGGTTACCGGTTTTGGGACTACGAAAATCGGAAGATCATTAGAAGCAGAGACGTCATTTTCAATGAAAATGTGATGTACAAAGACAGGTCAACCGCAGAATCAAGTAATACCGAAGCTGAAACAAAGGAATTTACTGAGTTCGAGGAGATTTCTGGAAATGATGTTCAGATCAGTCCTGAAGCAGTTCAAGAGGAAGAACCAGACACACCAGAGCTGAGATGCTCCTCCAGAATTCCTAAACCAACCCAACGGTATTCTCCTTCTTTGCACTACTTGTTGCTGACTGACAATGGTGAACCAGAGTGCTATGATGAAGCAATGCAAGTGGAGGATTCAGTCAAGTGGGAGTCTTCCATGAAAGATGAGATGGACTCGCTTATGTCAAATCAGACGTGGGAATTAGCTGAATTACCACCAGGCAAGAAAGCGCTCTATAACAAGTGGATTTACAGGATCAAAGAATAGCACGATGGGAGCAAACGCTGTAAAGCAAGATTAGTTGTCAAAGGTTTTCAACAAAAAGAAGGTATTGATTACAATGAAATTTTCTCTCCAGTCGTGAAACTATCTACAATCAGACTAGTGTTAAAAATTGTAGCTGCAGAGAATTTACATCTTGAGTAGTTAGATGTAAAGACAGCTTTCCTTCATGGTGATTTGGAGGAAGAAATCTATATGAGGCAGCCAGAAGGCTTTATAGAGGTAGGCAAGAAAAACATGGTATGCAGGTTGAAGAAGAGCTTGTATGGTTTAAAACAAGCTCCTAGACAGTGGTACAAGAAGTTTGATAGTTTCATGAGTAGCAGTGGTTTTACCAGATGCCAAGCAGATCATTGTTGCTACATCAAGAGGTTCGACAATAGCTTCATTATTTTATTGTTGTACGTTGATGACATGCTCGTTGCAGGCTTAGACATGCAAGAGATTATAAACTTGAAGCAAAAATTGTCAAAGCAGTTTGCTATGAAGGATCTGGGCGCTGCAAAGCAGATTCTTGGGATGAGGATCAAGAGAGACACAAAGTCGGGGACTTTGATATTATCACAGGCTGAGTACATCAACAAAGTACTCTCCAGGTTCAACATGCAAGATGCTAAACCAGTAAGTACACCTTTAGGTGTTCATTTCAGACTCTCCAAAGAACAATCACCAAAGACGGAGGAAGAACGTGTACACATGGTGAAGGTGCCGTATGCCTCAGCAATTGGAAGTATGATGTATGCCATAGTTTGTATCAGACCAGATATTGCTCAAGCAGTGGGAGTTGTTAGTAGGCACATGAATAATCCGGGCAATGTACATTGGGAAGCAGTCAAATGGATCCTCAGATATCTGCGGGGTACCACAAACAAAACACTTTGTTTCAAATGTGGAGATACGATACTGATAGGCTATGTATATGCTGACTTAGCCGGAAATGTTGACATCAGAAGGAGCACTACAGGGTATGTCTATACTCTAGGAAGAACCGCAGTGAGTTGGGTTTCTCAACTACAGAAGATAGTTGCTCTCTCCACAACTGAAGCAGAATATGTCGCTGTTACGGAAGCCAGCAAAGAGATGGTTTGGCTCCAAAGTTTCTTGGAAGAGTTAGGCAAGAAACAAGAAAACAATGTCTTGTATTGCGACAGTCAAAGTGCTATACATCTAGTAAAGAATCTGTCTTTTCATTCCAGGACAAAGCACATACAATTGCGATATCATTTTATCCGGTCTCTTCTGGAAGATGGGATTTTGAAACTTGAAAAGATCAGTGGAGCTCAAAATCCGGCAGACATGTTGACAAAGACAGTGACTACAGACAAACTGAAGTTGTGTTCAACTTCAGTTGGCATGCTAGAGTAACAAGACTAGAAAAGCTGTTGCATTGATCGAGGTGTGAAGACAGATTAAAATCAGTCTTCAAGTGGGAGATTGTTGAAATTATTAAAATGATTTTCAAGTTTGGTAATAACTTTGAAAAAATGGTTTTCAAAGTTTGGTAAATGTTTATTTGAAAAATAGTTTTTCAAAGTTTGGTAAATGTTTGTTGAAAAATAATAATGGGATAATCACAATTAATCCCTAGGCTTTAGGGTATTTACAAGATTAAGTCCTTAAGTTTCAACTATAAATACCCTAGCTCATTTAGCTTCAAAACCATCCCAAAAATCATTTCTTTCTCTCAATACTAGAGAGCTTTCTTGTGAGTAGTGAGTGTTTTGTAAACACCTGTAAATTTTCTCTCTTAGTAAAAGATCTGCAGCAGTCCGGAGACGTAAGCACAAGTGGCTGAACTCCGTTATCAATTTCGGGTATATTTTTCCGTTTTTATTTCGTATTCTCACTAATCTGACTATAGGGAAATTACTTGTTACTCGTTTATTTCCTAACATTACTGTGATTATTGCGACACTTATTTGACCCACGACTCCGTTAGTTTTCTGTTTTTTCTTTGTTATATTTCTTTTTTCCATCTTCATCTGTTTATGTTTATTTTATCTCCAAACAGATTTTTTGGATAAATATTTTGAAATTTGGTAATGCTTATTATCTGTTTTATCTAATTGAAAAATCGTTGACATTTTTTTGGTGGTTTCAAATTTCAGCCATCAGTTAGAAAGCAACACAAAGCAGGGTACAAACACAAGGTAATTATTAGAGAATTTTCTTTTGTATCTTGTTTATCTATTTATCTTGTCTGTTATTCATTTTTGCGGATTCTTTCTGGAAATTTAGGCAAATGTTAGAACATACTATCAGCAATTCGAGGAGCAACAGACCCAGAGCTTAATAGACCAAAGGATCAAAGAACATCTTGGCCAAGCTGCAGCTTTCCAGCAGGTTGGAGCTGCTTTCAATCAACATCTAATGGTTCAGAGGCCCCGACTTCCTGTTCTTCCAACACCTGTTATGCCCCTTCCGAGGGGTGCACCATTACCAATGGTCCCAGGGATCAGGCCCCCTGTTCTGCCTAGGCCGGTTCCAGGTGCTCCAGGTAAGATTCAAGGCTTATCCGTTTTATTATTGTTGTTGCTGATATGAGGTGTGGATATTTGGTTAATGAACTTATATGGTCATAAAATTTTCCTCTTACCCGTTTTGTTACATTCATGCTCTTATTTTTTTACCATAATTCATAATATGTCATACACTTAATTTCAAGATACTGACATCTTTCCAAGCCAGGCACCAGTTTTTCTTTTCTAGATCTCAATTACACATGCAGGATGGAATTTAATGTATATATTTTTCTTTTCCGGTGATGTTGCCAGGTTATGCTCCTGTTCCAGGCATACCACCAACGATAGCACCACCTGGTGCTCCTTCCTTACCTGGTCAAGTAAATGGTCTGCCACAGCCTCCAACATTGGCTCCGCTATCGACAGTTCCTGGAACTGCAACGACACCCACTTCTTCTAATGGGGCACCCACCATGGTGACACCTGCATTGTATCAGACAAATCCTGCTGTTCCAGCAAGTGGCAGGCTTGAGAATTTCCGTGCCAGTGCACAGCCTTCTGAAGCTAAACATTAACTGGTTAAACTGTATGCTTTGCTTCCATATATAAAGTAAGAGCCCTAGTATACCCATGTTTGTATGCTATCTGATGCTTTGCAATGAGTAAGGGTGTATGGTATTATTTTGCTCGAAGGGTTGTTTGTTATTCGACTTGAAGCATTGTCTCATTTTGCTTTGATATTGTCTATTCTTTAATTTTTGGATAAATTTGTCTTCTGGTAATCAATATAAATTTGGAAATGAATTCCTGGTCCCAAACTGTTTTAGACCAATGCAGAAATTAAAAGCGGGCTTATCTTTGCAATGGTTGGTTGACAGAATCTGTATTGCACCAAAATAATGTAAATAAATCATCATTCTTCACTCTTCAATTTTTTTCAGTTTATATGCATACTAATATTCTTTGTTATGATAAAGTTTGCAATGTAACACAAAGGATCAGCTGAAGATTATCATGTGATGTCCTGAAAATATCATGATTGCATTATTCTCATAATGAGTAATCCTACCTTATATTTTTTTTATTCTAGACCTAATGATTCCAGCTTATTTTGCCTCTCTTTGATATCTTTTGCCATTATCATATTCTTTTTAGTGGCAATCAGAGCTAACTCGCATTCTTCCAAGTCTACTGATAATGTTTCAATCAGCTTTTATATTGGGTGTTTTAATGCCAAGTTGCAGCAATTATTTTGGTGCTGAATTGTGGATGGTTTTGTATTGCCATTAGTGTTTTATATTAAGCTGAATTTTGTGTAGATTTGGATTGTAATGAAAGCTGCTGACAGCTCCTGTGTGTGCTATTTGTGAATAAATGAAATAGTACAAGCTGCCGCTTGATTATTTGTTATTTAATACAGGTTCTTAAGGGCTCTTTTCAGTAGCCATATTTGCAATTGCAAAGCTCGATTGGCGTAGATAAGAGCCTATCTATCAAGGGTATTGAGAGAAGGCAGTTTCCGGATTTGAGCTTCTAACATAAAAAGCTTGCGTTCCATGTTTTACCCAAGGTTGAAGATTTGTGGCTCGTGGTTTGACATGTACCACCAGATTTGCAATCGGTAGTGGCCTTTGAACAAAATAAAGAAACAGATTGAATATTTGAATGGTATTTTTTTTATAGAGATTGAAATTACTTACACCGGGCTTGAGTCAGATTCATGAAGTCATCCATAAGATCGAATACGACAGTTCAATTTTGGGAAACATGGAAAACATAGCAGAGTACTACATATACCATCTATCCATTGCACCATTTTGCTACATTGTTGCATATGATGAAAACTAGCATAAAATCCAACAGAAGATTGAGCTTCACAGATTTCCAACTTGAGCATTGCTGATTTCAGAATTGTTCAATTACAAGTTTTCGCATAAAGTCTTCAGGTGCTGCAAAGGATCATCATGTTAGAAATGAATCAGTTCCGTTGTTTTAGTAAATTCAACCGAAATTGGACCGGAAATGGTGAATATATTACCCAAGCCACCTGTGAACAGCCTGAACTGACATAGAGCTTGCCTAACAAACATCTCAACTCCACTCACTGCAGTGACACCAACCTCAGCTGCCTCCTTCAAGAGTCGTGTGATTCGAGGAGTGTAAACCGCATCAAAAACCAAGTCATATGCTCTTAGAGCCTCCTGAACAAGCATGGAAATATGAAGGATACGTTGATGAATGGATTTGATTTGTATAATGAGAAAGAAGCACCTTTGAAACTGGACTTTGATCTGAATTGGGTTTCATTCCAACAGCAGAAGAATTTGCAAGGATCGCTCCTGTCTCAGGACGGAACTTTTCTAAAGTTTCATACGGAAATGCTTCCCCAGAAACTGCATTGGCAAGGGCTTTTGCTCGCTCTTGTAGGGAAAGAAACCATGAAAAGGATGTCAAGCTCCACGGAAACCAAAAAGAAATGGCATGAAGGGAAGACTGGTAAGATAATCTTTACCATAATTGCGGTTGAAAATAACAATTCTGGCCCCTTTATATTTAGCACCAAAAGCCATTGCTCTTCCTGCACCTCCTGCTCCAATCAAAACAAAACTTCTTCCAGAAATCGGAGAGGATGTACCATGGGACGTTCCATTTCTGCTAACCTCCCTTTCTATTCATGCCAAGGAAATACGATTAAGTGATCTTTACCATAACCGGAACATATATCGTGTTCGTGTCATGTACCTCTTAGTGCATCCTCTATAGCAGAGATAGAAGCTTCACAGTCTGTGTTATAACCGATCAGCTTCCCGTCCATTGGCCTCCTTACTATCGTGTTTACTGCTCCTATGGACTGATTAGCAAAGAACGTCACATGCAATCAGAACCTACATATATATAGTTTTTTACCAATATATCTGCAGTTTCAGCTAAATCGAAGTTCCTCCATGTTCACAGACCTTTGCCAGTGGATGGACCTCATCACAGCACCTGACTGCTGCTTCCTTATGTGGAATTCCGACACTGTAATGTTGAAGAATCACAAGGGACAAAGGCCATGGATTAGAAATCTAAACATTTTTCATCTTCCCTTGAAATGGTTACATCTTTATATGTACCTGAAGCCTGCGAAATCGGAGCCAGAATAGGTTTCAAAGAACTCCTCAATATCATCAACAAGCATAGGAACATAAATTCCATTATATCCCATATGTCTAAAGGCAGGGTTGTGAAGAATAGGGCCTTTACTATGAGCAACTGGATTTGAGATGACACCGAAAACTTTCGTATCCGCATTCATATATTCAAGCCTGTAAATTTGCCGAAGACTGAGAAGAGAAGGCAATCCAGGGACTGGTTTTCCTCCGAGAGATCCGTATACTAAGAAACCACCGAACTTCGGTGCTAAAAGTTGGCTTATGAGACCTTTGCTGCCAACTGCCATAGCAATCAGTGGCACCTGATGAAAAAGACAGATTCACCACCATTCTAGAAAAAAAATCGTTATTTTTTCTATGTAGTGAGTACCTGACAGTGAGTGAGAACTGTAAAAATCGGTGCTAAATCTGTGATATAATCAACACATATGTCGAGTTTGATGACATCAGCTCGGGTGGCCTGCATACATGCAATTAAATCAGCAAGCTTTTCAACCGAAGGCTTCCCACCATTCACATCGTTGGATACTATGATTCTACTATTGGAACCGAAGTATTCGGCCATATTGACCTTACAAGCTACCTGGAAACAAGTTTCAATTCAATTGCATTAAAATGAATACTTTCTTGTTCAACAAGTTATTATGATACAAAATCCAGAAAGTGTCAGAAATTGGAATTAGATGAGTACCTCATAGTCCATTTCAACGAATTCAACATTGAGCTCTACTGCCCTTTTCAAAACTTTCAAGCAAGTATTGTTGCAACCTCCCTTGCTCGATTTCAGCCTGTGATTAAAAGATACTTTAATGTATGCGTTGCTTGGGGTCAAGGATGGACCGAGAGACAATGGATATGGTCGCATCCCTGGAAATTTCAATTAATCATATAATTTAAGAATTTTTCTTTATATTTTCTATCGATGATTTAATTTTATATTCTTTAAAATTTTATAATTTCACACCCCTAAATATTTAATATAACTTTCTATTCATATCCCTAACATAAAATCACATATACACCCTTAATTAAGGTCATAATCATGTTGTTCTGTATATCAAATCTTACTTCTTACCTCTAAATCTGCATTATCAATATTATTAAATAAACAATTCTGAAATCTGTCCATGTAATAGCACTGTAAAAAAATTATTGAAGATAAAGTACTTGAAGTTGACATATTAAAAAAATAATAATAATTAATTAAATTATGGCATGTGAGTTTTTTTAGTCGAGTTAGCAATTTAATGTGTAAAATATTGATATCATTTGGTATTTTAAATAAAATAAAATAAGATATTGAAAAGAAAAAAAATGAAAGTAATTAGTCCAGTACTAGAATGGAAATTTTAAAGTGGTGTTTTATTGATTAATTGTTGGTTAATTTAATAAACAGACTTCATTAAATGATCGTTTTACTAGTCGAAATGCACTCTTATCTCATGATATAAATATTTATATAATTCATTTACCATATCTAACATAAAGTATATGTGTATGAATATCACTCAACGTCGTCGTTTCCGTTATTAGTTTTATATAGACTTTTTCAAAATTACAAATTAAAGAAAGTAGTTGGAGTTATTAGAGCTTACATCAATGGATGTAACAGTGCTTACTGGACCAATTTGCATTAGTGGTTTAATGGTGGGCTGTGCATTCTCATTACTATAATCATGAAATCAAATTATGACATTTATTTTTTCTTATTTTACCTTTAAATTTAAATTTAAAATTTTTATCAACGTCCCATTGTTTGAAAGAAAAATTTTCTGTTATGTTCAATAATTCATTTTTATTTATTTATTAGCAGAGATATACGTAAGAATTGACGTTAAAGAGTGTAAATTTTTAAAAAGTTTCATTAAAATTTTAAGGGAATGAAATTTCCGGTATTACAAAATTAAACTATTAATAAAACAATATAAAATTATATAAAATTTTAAAATTTTCATGAAATATAACTATCCAACATTAATCCTAAGGGCGAATGTATGCAGCTATCAAGGGGAGCAATTATATACTCGTTATCTTGAGAAAACTACTAAATTTAATTTAATATATTGAGGGGAATAAAGAAATTTGTATATTCATTTTTTTAAATAAAATATTAAAATTTTGAATCTTTATTTTTAACTTTTAAATCCGTCAGTGCTCGATCCATCTATTTATTATAATATTATACAACCGCAAGAAACAAAGACAAGGAAATTTTGAAAAAAAGTCACCTCCGGAGAAATCATATGGTCTCATTTCATTTCCAGTGTGGAGAGGATTTTACCTGAAGGACACAATAGCTGGAAGATTTCGTCGCTTAATAATCTCGTCAAGTGCTTGGGAATGGCATGGAACAGCCATGGACGCCATGCAAAGCTCCACCATATCTGCACCTTCTTCCTTTGCTTTCTCCATGGACGTCACCATTTCTTCCAAGCTCTCACATTCCAATGGCGTGCACACCACGACCCCGTTCTTAGCAGCCATGTACGTCAGTCGGACGAAACGAGGAGGAGTTCGAAAGAGAAAAAAAGGGTCTTCGGTTGAACTCCCCTTATTTGGGCACGCATGTCTTATAACATTATCGTTGCTGGAGTCTGATGGAGAGGATTAAGCTGTCACAATCTTGCCTTCATATGTGGTCCCTTAACTCTGTGACTTAAAAATCTGTAATTGACTATTGAACCAATACAAAAAGGAAACCCTTTAATTGATCAACTGTTTTTCTGGGCCCTGTCGACTGACCAAAAGATCTGGTCTCAAAACGCACTACACTAGAGGTCACCTGTTGTCGGTGCCTGTATAATTTGCCATGTGAAAAAAATGTGCCTAAGAGCATCAGATTTACCATAGGTATGCATATTAGTTAAGCATATCATAGGCTATTACAGAAAGGACATTGCCTTGTATTAGCATTTAGAGATGTCTCTTTGGAAACAACAAAGTAACTTTTAGTTCATACGGTTTGCATGTATCGACATTTCTTCCACTACAGATTGAGACTAATGGAAAGGATTTTAGCCATTAGTGAGATGTTGAATTCAGTGAGCTCGGAATCTGCCTATCCATTTCTTCCTTCGGACTGATGAGCATCCTTCGGACGTCATACTGAAATCTCCTGTAATTGCAATTAGGTGTGGTTAAATATCATACAGGAAAAAAATATAGAATGATGAAATGTGTTCTTTTGGTTAGTTTTGCACTTAACTGCCAAGGGTAGTGATCTCCGATCATCATCATGTCACCTTCGTCATCAGTATAGGTTACATTCCAGCCGCTGCTTCCATTGACCAATCGTCCTTTAAAATCAAACATGCGGTCGAGCTCACCTATGAGCTCTTTATATCCATCGAATCGAGTGAGATCAACTGATCTTCCAAGTGCAGTCCCGCACTTGAGTACCTATTAGAGAAAAGAATTTTCTCAGAATCAACTTATAGGAACAATCAATTTAACAATAGTTCAGGCTGCCAAAATGAAAAAATATGGAGGAAACAGTGTGCGGTTGCCAACTTCGTATATCATCGTTCAACTATCAATACGCAATTCAACTTAGATGGTACTGGTACCTTGGTGCAACTCCGATTACTAACAGAGCAAGATGTACCCTTAGAAGGTTCTGAAACTGTTGAGTGAGATGTTGGAGGAATAGAAAAAAGACTTTCAAGCTCACTAGAAGTGAAATGTTGTGGTGAAGGGGGCTCCGGTTGACCGACAATTAAATTTACTCCAAAAAGCATGCATGCATGATCACCATTTGGTTCACACAATGAAGTTTGAGAATTGACATTTGGAACTGAAAATTTTCTGCTAGCAAGAGCATCTTCATGAACTCTGTCATTGGAGAATTTAGGGAGCCAACTGTTATGAAGGCCAAAACTTGCTACTTCACCGGAAAAGATGGCTGTGCCACATACAGGATTCTGAATCTCTCGTCGGTTCTGCATCTGCTGTTGTATTGAGGCCCAACCGTGATTTAGTGGGAGACCATGTGGTATTGGTTGTCTTAGTGCACCAGATTGATTACCACTATCTTCTTGACCTTGCAAGACCCCTGAGATACATTGAGATTCATTATTAATTGAACCGTGCCACATGCCTGGTAAGGAAGAAATAATGATCAGAATCTACAAATTCCAGATTCATAACTGGCAGGAAACTCCTTAAAAGTATAAGCAGAATCCAGACACCGAGTATAGTTACCGACCATCCGTTCGCAGGCTAGAAAACATAGACGATGATGAATCATCAGTACGAGCCTTCTTTCGGTTATGCAAAATGGAAAGTTTCTTCTTCTTAGTGAATCCCATTGGTTCTATGTTCCAAGGACAAACTCTTTCAGGAAGCAAATTTGCAGCTGTGGGATCCCATTGCACCTAAGAAATTGTGGAACCAATAATAGGTTGAGACGAATATGTAACTCAAAATTGTATATCATCCATACGTCTTGCGATCATGGATTTAAAAGAACACACATTACCTTCAGACATCTCCATTCGGAATTGGGCCATCTAATTCGATCGATATCTTCATTACTTACAATGGTTCCGGAAGCTCTGGTTTCGAGAAGAGTTCATTAGGTTTAAGAGATATAGGAAATACTGACAAAGAAACAAATTGATCTTGTTGTACAATGCATGAAGTTCCATGAAAGATTGTTAATGAACTTATACACACAAATGATACAGGGTGGTCACCTCTTTTCCCTGCATTCTTCACCTTCAAGTTGCATCCTAAATCTTGTCACGACGGAGTAGTCAATTCGAGCTGACTTCATATACTGATCAAATGAGATGATAAATTCAGACGAACCTGACCTGCAAAGATGCAAGAATGAATGGTCTTGCTCATTCAGTTCCAGTGTGACAAGTTTCGTATCGAAATTATTACAACTTACCAAGGACGGTGGTAGACAGTAAACATGCTTCTGGTAGAAAAGGCATGGAAAGCACTTGCCAATATGCCAAGTTGCATGCTATGACCAGATATGATGGATGTTGACGCACGGTTCTGAACCTTCGTTGCTCGGCGAATTCCGACACGAAGTTCTTCATTTTCCCCTCTAGAGAACATTAATTTTCCTTTAATTATTTGGTTTATTCATCCTCTAATACATAGCATACATTATAGAAACAACATTCTAGAAAAGAAAAAAATCCAACATAACTTCGAAAAGCCTATGTAGATGAAACGTTGAATCAATTGTATGTATGTCTATGCCTATGTGGAACACAAAAGAGAAGCTTGTGCAGAAATGTACACATTTTTTTCTTTCCAGGAATTGGAAGAGAGAGACAGAACCTAAGAAAGATACATGTATCCCCGGCAACGAGCTTCTTCGAACTCAGAAACGTACTCCAACCGCTGGTAAGCAAGTGCCTTTTTGGCTGACCTGCATTCGAATCGGAACAAAGTCCATAAGGAAACAGAGACTAGTGTAAAATAATCCTTTTTACATGAACATTAAACATTAGGATATTAGGACAAGCTAAACTTCCCATAACTTACAGCTAGTATCTGAATTTCAATAGCAATAAACTAAGGGCTCTTAAGTTAGGATTTCAATAACCATGGAACTCTGCCAAGGTAATCGACACA